GGATGTGTCCCCTCCCCTCACCCTGCGAGAGCACGCCGCCGCCGAGGCATCGGTTGGCGAAGTCGGCTTGCAGCTGGTTGGAGTCCTCGATCTTGTCGTCACTGGCCTTGACCACCACCTCGCCCAGCACCTGCTCCGCCCTGCCCCACCACTCGGCGCCCCTGCGGCGCTGCGACACCAACCGGCGGAACTCGATCGGCCGGTCCATCTCGTCGCGGTCGCCCTTGTCGATGATCTCACTCATGCGGATGAAGTACAGCACGAAGCACTGCAGCTTCTGCACCTTGTTGGGCTGCGTGTTGCGGAACAGACCGAAGAAGTTGATGGCCAGACCTCGGCTGCCCGGCGGGCCCTTCTGGAAGGGCAAGATGCACAGGAAACCCGCCGCCAGCAGCGAGAAGCACTGCTCGGCCGTCAGCGTCACACAACCGAGGCGGCCCGGGATGAGCGCGGGGACGGCCGTCCGGAAGAGCCGGCGCATGGCGAGCACGCTGCGGCACATCTGGGGGATGGCGAACGAGCGGAATCGGTTCTGGTCAGACGGCGGGATGGCCTCGAAGATGGAGTTGAACTGTTCAATGGTGAACCGCTTGCTGTTCGTGAGGGTGTGCTGCAGCTCGATGATGAACTGGCGGAGGCTATTGGTGTCGGGCGGGCCGCCGCTGGCGTACTTCTTGACCATATCGCAGATCTTGGGCCACTTGGCGCCGTCGTGACACGGCAGCATGACAGAAGGGTGTTGGTTCGACATACGCGCTGATGGAAGGAGGAGGGCTGGAAAGTGTATTTTTGATTTCAAGACGAAACCCCACAAACCCTGCAGAAGACGAAACCCTATTCAAATGGGCTGCTATTCAGATGGGGAATTTGAATAGGACGTTTGTGTGGACGGGAAGGAGCGGATGGCAGATTGCTGTCTACATTAGACGAGATCCACTCATACTTCCGTCCCACAACCGCACGCACATCAGCCTGTGATCTGCCCCATAGGTGATAGAACACATCTATCAGGGGGCAAGTGAGGACCGCCCCGACCTCCTGGACCAATAGACGACAGGGGGAGGGAAAGGGAGGAGGGGATGGACACAAGGAAGACCATCCATCCAGACGTCTGGATTGGGCTGACTGGGTGTCTGTGTGCGTACCCGGATCGGGGTCTCACTGAAAGGGCTGAGTCTTCGGTGTAGTGTCGATGTAGCGCTGGAGGTACTTGATGTTCATCTCGTTTCATTTGACGATGTCCTGCCACCTCTTGTCGTGGGCCTCCCAGCCCTTCCTGCTTTCTTCAACAATACTGGCGAGGGCGTCCTGCTGTGCCTGGATGAGCTGTCCCTGCGCCTGGATGAGTTCCATATTGGCCTTGATGAGCTCTCCCTGTGTCTGGATGAGTTCCCTGACTGATGGGAAACAAAAACGAACACACGACGGTAGACAAGGCGGCCGGGCCGTCTGCTTGTCGTTCGTGGCCTTACGTTCTTGTTCTTGTGTGGGCGCGTCATTGCCGCTGCCTGTCGACTCTCCGCCGCCTCCCTCTGCAAACAGCGCACTCTCCAGCGTCGGAGCCTAAACACAGACACACACACACACACACACACAGTATGGAAAGGAGCCCCCCTCTCACCCCTCTCCCCCCCTCTCCCCTCTCACTCACCGTGTGTGAAGAGGAGGGCGCCAACAGCAGCGGCCGGTGAGACCCATCTGAAGACCAGCACACATGAATGCGTGTGTGTGAGACTGTGTGTAAGCCCAGACAGACATGACGGAGTCTCTCAGCTCGGGAGGTGTGGTGTGCAAGACGCTGCCTGCGTACCCGACGAGCCGCGCAGCCGGTAGGCACCTACACCTACACACACGCACACCAACACACACACACACACACACCCCAACGCACCATAACAAACACTGTGTGTGCGTGCATGCGCTCTTCGGTGCACTCGAGTGAGGCGCCGAAGTGTCTGCCTGTCTGGTGCTGCATGGTTTGTTCGGCCTGCAGCAGGCCGCACTCACCTGCTGAGCCGCTGTGGTGAGCCGTCGTGAGAGGATGGGCAAACAGCACCACATGACCTGCATGCAGAGGTCAACCAACAGACAACCCACGCGCTGGCGTCGTGTCAGTGGCTTCGCCTCCGACCTGTGCCAGTGCTTGAGCCGTACCCGCCTACGCCTCCGATGGCGAGGCACCACACAAAGAGCGCCGCCACCATGAGATGGGCAGTCACCATCGCCGGGAGGGACTTAAGGAGCGAGGGACTGCGATGATCTGCATTTTTCGCGCTCGCAGAGACCCGGCGTGTCGGTGACTGTTGTGTTGATGGGAAGAGAGCGGAATGTCTTCATTTTACATCTGCGTATGTGAACGTCTTCAGACTAGAGACACAGCAAACATAACGCTGGCTATCTCCTAAGAAAGAGTCTCCCATCTTTCAACCCGACTACACGGTCGCATCTTCCCCTTTCCCACTATCGTCCTTCCCCTTTCCCCCGTCGTCACTGCTGTTGCCCGGCGCTGTCTGCAGGTCTGAGGGTACCGACATCTGAGCCAGCCGTGGCAACTCCTCTTCGCCCGAAGGCTCGATCTTCCGCGTGTCTTTTGGCTTTTGCTCGTCAGCGGATCGGTGTGATGACGACCGGGGACCGATGAGAGACAGCAAGACGGGAAGGAAAATCAAACCATGCGCTGCATCCACGAACAAGAACAGAATGATAAGGACTCTTGTGTGGGGTCATGAGGTGCTCTGTGTGTGTCTCACTGGCTCCGAACAGAACAGCCATGAAGAACATTTGGAAGAACACATAAAAGATATAGGAGGAAGAGCCGATGAGTGGCAGCGTCGCCAGCAGCGTGGACAACGCCCCGTTGGCGACGGAGACACCCATGGACTGGAGGGCCTTGATCATGCGCTCGTTGTGTGTGCCTGTCTCCTGCATGAAGGCGTGAGCGATGTGGGCCGAATAATCGACCGCAAAGCCTACACCGAAATCCGAGACGGACATGTCATAATGTATATCAGTGGCCTTGCTGTTCCCCTACTCACCGATGGCCATGACAAGGTTGATCATTGTGATCTGAACCAGCAGAGACACAAACAAACATACACACACACAGACACACGTATCGTTGACTGTGCTTCGGTGAGACAGCTGCGCACCGAGTCGAGAGGGATGCCCCAGTGGGACATGTAGCCGACAATCATGGCGTCAATACTCACAATCATCACCTGCAGCCATGCACACCACAGCACAGCACAGAGAAACCAAAATGAGTATGCAGGCATGATCACATGCATTGATGGATAGAGGCCCACCAGGACAGAGAAACACACGGCCGGGTGTGCCAGGAAGATGTAGGTCAACACGAGCACAGCAGAGGCGGCGCACCCCAGGTTGAGGAGCGTCTGATCTCGGATCACGATACTCTGCTCGAAATAGTAGAAGCCTGGATGATAGACCAGAATCTCCCCCTTCCTGGCGAAATCAGAGTCTTCGGCAATGTCTCGATAGGCAGTCATCAGCTTGCGCTGTCCACACACACACACACACACACACACACACGACATGACCAAGCATTTGACTTGGGTGAAGTGTGTTCGGTCGGTTGGCATACCTGTTTCAGGAAGTCTGGCGTCGCTTTGGTGAGCACGAAATAGCGGGAGGCCTTCACAGTACCATCGGTCGGCCTCCTCAAGACGTCTTTCTCATAGCGCTGCAGCGAAGTCCATTCCATGAGTGAGTGCTTTGCCCGTTTGTCTGTCTCGCTGACCTCTCCTTCCGTGGAAAGGAAGTTGTTGAGGCACGCCGAGAAGTCTGGCGGGCACGTCGCCGCTGTTTGGTTCGTCTCCCAATCCTCAAACCCCCGCAGCCAGCTCGTGATCTGGGTTATGCAGAGGAAAGGCACTCAGTTGCACATAAAGGTCCGATTGCCGTTACCCGTCTTTGTGGGTCTCTGTTTGTCCACTTGCTTTTCTCGAATTTCCTGGTCACGGCATCGATGGATGCCTGCGTTGCCGGCGTGGCGAAGTCCACCTTCCGGAGACTCACGGCCACAGACAGCTCACTTGAGACCATGTCAGCGCCTGTTTTCTGCATGAGACACAGATACGGCAATCTGCGCTGTGTTGCCGTGTGGTGTCTTGCCTTGCCTTGCCCACCTCCTCTGCTTGAATTCTTGCTCGGAAATAGCTGCAGAAGGGCGCTAAATTCTTCAGCTCTAGCCCCTCTTTGAGCTTTAATACACCCACTATGGCTGCAACACACAGAAGAATGAGCAACGACCCCACGTCTGTGTGCGCCTTCCCCTCTGACCTCCAGAGAGCAGTCCAAGATACGCCAAGACGACAGCAGCCTTGACGATCGGGTGAGCGAGAAACGGGCCCAGCCTTGTCCTCACTGTTGCAGACAGGCCCCACGGCACGTCCCTTATGGGCTGCTTGTACATGTCACTCTCCTTTGACTTCATGCAACAGAACAGCAAGGGGAAATCGGACCTGCACCCAGCGAAGTCATTATTAATGTAGGGAGGTCTGTCTGTCTGTGTTGTTGCGGCTGGATTACAGGTTCGCCTTCTGTCTTCTCGCATCCAGCACGAGCAAAGCCACAAAGAAGGTGACCTGACAACCAACACATACAGCACATGTGCGTGTCTCCAACCAATGAGATGTCATCTTGTCACAGACCATGAAGACAAAGACCATGGAGATGCAGAGCAGCAGACACAGAAAAACTGGATGGCCGGAAACAGCGAGAAGCCGCCAACTCCGAAAGCCACAACGTCGGTCACTGTGGTCATGGTGATGGACGGCCCAAAGCCTGCATCGCCTTGGCCACTCGCTCCTCGGGCTCTTCATCGGGGTCTTGCTCGTCAAAGGTGGCGATCTGGATGAACATGTCATCGATTCCTATACCGACCACGAGGAAGGGGGCGGTGCCAACTATGCTCACAAAGGGCACACCTACACATACGACAGACAAGACCTGGCTGTGTGTATCTCTTCTATCGTCTTGCATGCTGCATCCTCACCGAACAGCACACCCAGGCCAAACCCTGTGATGAGCCCCATGCCCACACCAAAGACGCCCAGTGTCGCCTGCAAACATGCACGATGATCGACCAGACCATAGGGAGGTGTGTGTACCCTTAATCGCAGTGATGCTCACCAGCCCCGTGCAAGACCGGACGAGATTGCCAACTTTGAGGGTCACTGTGATCGCAAAATTGACCATGACAACAAAGGCCACCACCTGAGACACGCAGTACAGTGTGAAGCTCTGTATACACAGCAGCTCTTTCTCTGTACCATCAAAGGGAAGTCCTCAGAGGTGCTTTTGTCCAGCTCGTTGTTGAGAGAGCTTTCCGTGACTGGATAGACATTGAATCCGCCAATCTTGCCGTACTCGTCGGTGTCAGGGTCGAGGACTGCCTTGACAAATGCATCCTCAAACTCAAGTGCCTTGTCCTCGCTGCCGCTGGTCACAAAGGTGAACTGACCCAATGCGGGCAGAAATGCCATTGAAAGCAGCGCTCTTCCTTGGTATTTGGACATACCTGGAAAGAGGTCGCCTCGATGATGTCTCCATCTTGGTCTCTCTTGACCTTGGGAAGGATGCTCGGCAGCGACTCCACCAGAGGCTCGTTTCGGTGATCCATTGCGGCAGGGTCGTTGAGCCGATCAAGTATCTCCTGTCTCGTTGTCACACCGTCGATGACACTCTGGTCCAATGGCGGGATTCCCCAGGCAGAGAATATGGACGTGACGACACATGGCGTGCCGGGGCCAGACGGGCGGAAGCATATGTCTTCGTAAGTCAGCTGACGGCCGTTGTAGTCGAAGGGCAAGGTGTACAGCTCGGAGAAGATGGAATATGCAGCCTTGAATTGCTGCACGTCCAACACGTTGCCACCAAAATCACCTGCACGAAGCCAGAGCATGTCGGCAAGAAGTAACAACCTCTGCTCATCTGCACTCATTTGTCAGCTTACCCCGCCACACGAGCAGCACCGAACCGACCCTCAAACCCTTTTTCTCCCAGATGTCTTCGTAGCGCTTCTCCACCTTTGCCGCCTCGCTGTCCTGGTCAAAATACAGCTTCTCCGCCCTATTCTCTTCTCGCACCAATAGCAGGAAGCACAATAGACCGAGCGCGGCGACGACACAGCAACCAACAGCGACGGCCTTGGGGCTGCGGCCAATGGCCCTCGAAAGTACGTAGTATCGCCTTGCCAGCCACACATCGAAGGCGTTGAGCAGCGCGAAGATGGCCGAGAACGGGCCCCTCTTGTCAGCCATTGGCCCACAGTCAATCGCGAAGGGGAGGGGAAAGAAGGGAGAAAGAATGCAAGGGTTTCGGGTTCAGGGTTTCGCAAGCTACGATCCTGCCCTTCTCCCGCAGAGCGCATCATGAGAAGCCTCCACTGAGACGCTGTATTCACGGACAATTTGGTGAGCATTGAGAGATGATAAGGATGGCCCTGCTGATCCAATTGACGTGATCTTCTTGCCTTCAGGCGTTCTTGACTTAGCCATGGCGGCTGCAGCGTCATCTTCATCCGCTACTGCTGCTGATCGTGATCATGGAGCCGGCTTGCCGCTGCCACAGGTGAATGAAGGGCGCACACAATGTCACAGAGATATCATTTGCCACCCATCACTACGGCTCTCTTGGTCTCTTGTCGGTTCGTTTTATCTATCAGGCGACGTCATCATCGGATCAGGACCGCCCCACCCTCAGCCCTCCGCCCCTCTCGTCCATTGTGATCAGCAAAGCGGCCCACTTGGAGGACACCAGGCGGGCACTCCTGTCGCAGATCAACGACGACCAGGACAAGGAGAGCATCACCAGCGCTGTGACCCAGTTGGTGAAGGAGCACATAGAAGCCCAGCTGGCCGCCAAGGGACTCGAAGGCATCATCACCCTCTCCGCTGACCTGACATCGCTCGACCTGCTGCTGCGGCTGGCGTATTTCATCGACAAGAGCGGCGAGTGGACGGCGACGGTGCCGATCGTCAGAGTGGCCAAGCATCAGGGGCGGGGAGGCGGGCAGCTGCCGATAGAGCTGAGGAGTGCTGATGTGGAGGGGGTGGGCAGCCGGGCGGTGTTTGACGGGCGGTGTGAGGCTGTGCGCCAGCTCTCACTCATCGGCCGGCACATCGGCATGGAGCTCGAGCGCGTCAACGATGGGGAGCGGCTGGATGGACATCGGCTCACCATCCGCAAAGCGCAGACGCTGCCGGCCGACCACCCCTTCCGCAACGGATACGACGAGGCCAACCCCGTGTGTGAGCTTCTAGGTGAGGGAGAGAGGGAGAGGGAGAGGGAGGGAGCGAGGGAGATGGACCATCTGGCTGTGTATGCGGACGTTTGTTTGCAGGTCTCGACCATGCTTCAGTTCGCGACGCTGTGTTGAACGAGTGAGAGGGTTGAGCAGGATGGGATACACACACGAACACGTAAACACATTGGCTGCACCGCTCTGCCATGATGTGTTTGATCAGGTTGGGTCATGGAGGGTCGCTGGTTGCACACCAGGATGTCACCCCATACAGCAACGCCCCAATCTACGACCGACTGGTCAGTCACACGCACACTCACTCAACTCACTCATCGCCATGCGTCCCTTTTTCTTCAGCGGCGGGTGCTCGCCACTCAGCCGCCGCCTGTGTGGGACCGGTGCACCATCAGCACGAGCCACGCACCGGCAACAGGCTATTTCGAGCGGGTGATTCTGCTTCACGGTGGCGAAGCCCACGACACATTTGCGGCCCACATCATCATCTACACCCACACCAACTTTGCCTCTAGCCGCCTCTATACGACGGAGCGTCCGGTGGATGGCAAGAAGCGTGCAGCCAGATTCCCGCAGACAGTGAGGTTGGCGCGTGAGGTGTTGGGAGCCGATGCGCATGTGGTGTTGGGCGGCAACTAGCTGTAGACTTGACTAGGGGGGTTGGCCCCCTGGCTGTCTGTCCAGGTGGCCACGGCAGGCAGATCGATGTGTAGACACATACAGGTGCATGTGTGAGGGGCGGGCGAATGGACTGGCTGTAGCAATACGTCGCATCTCATCGACCAACGAGACGCGGGCGAGTGGATGGATGGATGGATGGAAACAGCGTAATGTGTCTGTGTGGCAGCGTGGCTGCGTGCACGACTGACTGCGTGTCGGCTAGTCGGAGTTCATACGGACCGTTCCATCGATCAACAAATGGCGTGGTTTGGTAGTCAGCCAGGCACCAAGGCAGCCTGCATTCACATGCTTATCTGTCCAAGCATCCATCTGTCGATCTCCACGACATACAAATCCTTCGTCCCACGGACACCGGTGGACTGACAGACACTCACAGCCCAACCAAACGGCTCTCATACCGCAGCACATCCCCACTCCTGAAGGGCACCACCGCCCCTTCGCTGCCCAGTATCGACTCCCCCCAGACCGACGGCACAGTGAACGCCCTCTTCCTCAGCTCGACCGCTGGCTTCCCCTCCTCATATCTCTTGACAGGTACCCCAAAGAACTCCGCGCCGAAGCGGCCCACAAAGTCAGGCAGGCGCTTGGTGACGGTGGTGTCATCGTCTGTGTATCTGCTCGACCCCCAGACAAAGGTGTCGGCGAGGTATGCGAGGAGGAAAGGGGAAGTGAAGCATCCTGCTGCGGCCTTCATGCCGATCTCCTTCTTGTGCCGGGGGTGGGGGGCCGAGTCGGAGCCGAGAAAGAAACGGGGATGGCCTGACACACACAGACAGACAGACAGACAGACACATGCATCCAGAGACAGAAAAGATTACGTGTGTGTAAGCAGACAGCTTCGAGCACGTCTCACCTTCATCCATGACGACCTGTCTGATGGCCTCCCGGTCCTCTCTCATCTTGGCCACAGGCTTGCAGAAGTTGTGGGAGCACCCCACCACCTCATCGATGGTGAGGTCCAGGTGGTGGGCCGTCACTGTGGCACCTACAGTCGGGCCGAGCCGACGCACCAACAAAACGGCCGCTGCTGTCGAGACGTGCTCAAGCACCTACAAGCAGCAGCGACACACGCATTCACATGCCTTCTACGCCAATCTCTCTCCACAGTGCGTATCGCGCTTACGATCTTCAAGCTGGGGAATGCCCGATGCAGCTCCTCGAGCTGAGGGAGGAAGCTCGCCTCGGCGGTTAAAACCGACACACCAGGCACCTGCAGCACAACGGACACACCTATCTCCTCATTGGACATCCGCGTGAGCATCTGGGCGTCTGCCCACCTCCCCGTGGATGTGCAGTGTGAGTCCCATCTTCTCCATCTCGCTGAACAGGGGGTAGTAGGTGGTGTAGGACTCGATGCCGGCCTCGCTGTTGGTCGTCACGCCGCGGGGATAGCTCTTGACGCCACGAACGCCGCTCTCATCCGCGTTGGCACGGAGATCATCCGCTGACACTTCTTGACCTGGAGAAACACGCAACACGGGCAGAATTGATGGCGTTTGATTCGTCCATTCGTGTGCGCGTGTGCAGAGCTCACCGAGATAGAGAGTCATTCGGTAGTCCACTCGTGGGTCAATCGCCTGCAGCTTTGCCCGATAGTCAGCTGCCTCTGCGCACGTGCGGATGGGCGGTATCGTGTTTGGCATCACCACAACTCTGTCCTGAAATAGATGACACACCAGGACTGATGAAAGGTGAGCATGCCGGCGAGGCCATGCTCACCGAGCCGCCGTGGATGACGGCGGGCGTGACGGCCTTCATCATGGCATCTTGTCGAAGGTGCACATGAAAGTCGTCTGCCAGGGGAAGCAGAAGCGCCGGGGACTCTCCCTCGTCCATCTTTGGCACATCCACAATGCCACCGTCGGGACTGAATACTCCTGCTTCCTCCTTTCTCCAGCTCGCACCCTTTCGCGATGCCGCACGCATCTTTTGATGGCGATTATCTGTAGTATTATTGTCGGTGGTTGAGGCCAATGGCTGGCGAGGAGGCAGATCCATTCGATTTTGACGTCCCTCCGCCAGCGGCAGACCTTGGCGATGCAGTTGGCGAGCAGCAGGCGGCCTCATACGACGAGTGGTTTCGACAGCCCCACCCCCTGCATGAGCAACAGAGGCGACGGCCACCCCCTCCCACAAGAATGCGCATATCGCACGCCTCCCGCCCTCTTCCAAAGCCCGACGGCCAGGAGAGCGGCGAGCATCCGCATCTATCGGACCCACAGCAATATCAGCAGCAGGAGAGCGTCCCTGAGCAAGTGGATGGTGAGGTCAAGCCTGCCGTTGGTGCAGCGACCGAGAATGGCAATGCTGAGGATGCAGAGAAGGAGAAGGACAAAGGCGGTGCCGCCGCCACACAGAGCCAGCCTGCTCCTGAGCCTTCTGGTGCCCCTGCTGCTCAGCAGAAAGGCCCGACCGTGAGCGACCCTTCGTCCGAGCAACCAAAGGGCGCCAACAAGCCCGCCAGGCCCGCATGGCGTCCGGCTGGCGGCGGCCATGGTGTGTCGGCTGCATCGAAGGCCATCAAGAAGGATGGCCAGAGGGGCAGGGCGGCGCAGAAGAGGCCTAATGGGGAGGGGGAGGGGAAGGGCGCCAAGAAACGGCGGACGGAGGATGATGATGTCAAGGACGGGGAGGATGGGGAAGGTGGGGAGGGTGGGGGGCGGGCTGACGAGGGCGGCGCTGCTGGCGGTGGCAGAGACGAATCTGAGGAGGGTCCTGCCGGTGGCCAGCCCAAGAGGCGGCCTAAGGAGAGGGGAAGGGAGAGGGAGAGGGAGAGGGAGAGGGAGAGGGGCCGTGCGAGGGGCGTCGCTGCTGCGGCTGCTGCGCCCCCTCCGAAGGGCAAAGTCAACATCGCTGACGACGCGGATATGCAGGCCCTGTAAGCCGCTCACATACAGAAATGCAGCTTCATTGTCTGGATGTGTCTGCCGGTCGTCTGCGTGTGTGCAGGCTGGCGGGTTTCAACGAGCGTGTCAAGGCACAGAAGCCGCAGCAGGTGTCGTACGAGCCGCGAGTGCACAACATGAGAGACATCAAAAAGGTCTTGAAGACGTCCACATATCCCTCTTCGTGCAGTGCATCCGTTGAGCATGTGTGTGTGCGTGTGCCTTCTCACTGACTGTCTGCAGTGGGAGGCCATGACGGGCCAGCAGTATGATGCTCTCAGCTATCAGGACCGCCAGAAGGTCAAAAAGAGACCAGTCAGCTACGCACGCGCCAGCCCCTTTGTGCCACTGTTTGCGGCTTTATGTGTTTGTGGGTGCTGCAGGCGAATGCGGAGATCCAGCGCATGAAGGACAACCCGACAGATGAGGCCGGGCCGCCGCGATAGCCAGGGCTGAGGGATGGGTGTGTGCGTGAGCAGTGCATCTATTCATGATGCGACCCGTGTTCGTACAGACGTAGACGTGTGGGCTGCTGCGTGTGTGTCTAAAGGACATGTTCATGCTCTCGATGCTCTCTCTCCATGCGAATCGTCCTAGGTATTTCACGGCAAGTTCAGACGGTCGTCCACACACAAGCCCCCGCACACACTTTGCCCCGTCCAATCAGTCAGTCATGCCCCACTTCCTCCTCTATTTCCTCGATACGCCTTTGCAGTGAGAGAATCTGCTGGTGGAGGCTGGTCTTCTCCGCCTTGAGAGAGGTGACAGACTGCTGGATGCGGCCGTTCTCCGTCTTCTGCAGCTGAGCCTGTGCGCGAAACTCCTCCTCCATTCTCTACATGCGTCATCCAATCCACCACGACAGACAGGGACACACATGAATTGTGAGTGTGTGCGTCACGTGTGTGTCGTCCTCGTGTGTGTATGCCTGTATTTCTGCTTGGAAGAACCGCCTGGCCTCATCAAGCTGCACCTGCAGCTCCCCTTGCCTTAGCTCCCTCTCCCCCCTGATGGTGTCCAGAATGCTGCGGTCAACTGCACCACAAACAACACAAGAGCGATTGGAAGTGAGGCCCCTCTGCAGACAAGGGCTCTCTGTGCTGTGTTCCGTGACTGACCATGGAGTTCTTCGCAGGCGACCGACAGCGAGTTGGCGAGGGCGCCGACCTTGCCCTTCAGCCCAGTGGCACTCAGCGACACAGAGCCGGCCTCTGGGGGGCCAGAGAGAGAGGACGTCATCGCTAGAGGCTGCCTGATGTCCCGTTCTGTGGAGACGGCTTAGCTTGCATTTCTGCCCCCGGGGCCCCCAGTCTTCCGGAAGCAGTCTTCCGGAAGGCTCCCAGCTTCCCATCGCACCATGGGTAAGCACACAGCTGCACGGTGCCGTTTCCTCCTCTCGCTTCTGTTTCCTTTTCCACGTTTGCTTCTGCTTCCTTCAGCATCAGCCGCCCTTGCTCGCGTTGACAAGGTGGGTGAAGGACAGCCGCTGCGGGCAGCCTCTGCATCTACTCTGCGCCCACGTTCAGAGTCAAGTGACAGAACTTAAGAGTCTCCCCGTCCCGCCTCCACTCGTCAAGTAATCGAAAGACACAAAAGGTCTTCCTTTTGTCTCCCACTTCCCTTGGCGCATTGCACATGCAGGATGACTATGGAGGCTGTGAACACCATCCTCGGGGAAGGAACCGACTGGCACGTGGTCCAGAAAGTGCTTTCTGACGTATGCCTTGCAGACGGCGCATCGCTTATCTATCTCACAATGTCTGTCGATGTCTCTGTCTGTGTGTCTGTCCCTGTCTCCTTGTCTGTGTCAGCCATCGTTTTTGGATCGATTGAAGGGCGTGAGCAGTGACAACGTATCGACGGCGGTGCTGGACAAGCTGCAGAAGTGCATTGACAATGCCGACTACACCCCTGACAATGTCGGCAGGCAGTCCAAGGCCGCCAAGTCTCTCTGTGCGTGGACGCACGCCTTTTACAATGAGGCAAAGGCATGATGAATGTATGCACTGGCCATCACTGTGGGGGCTGGCAACTTGGATGGACGAGTGGTGCCTCACATGGCATGCCAACAAAAATGTTCCCAACGATGTGCGTGTGGGTGTGGTTTGAGTGTGGGAGAAGGACATCTGTCTTGTCTGACACCTTGCCGATGGACATCTATACTTCATCAGACACGTAGAGCTCGGACGCATATCGACATTGACGCTCATGAATTCTCAGATAGCATGGTCCCTGATACGCAGGTCGGTGGTGTGTTCGTGTTGTTCCATGAACGATATGCATGCAACAACCCACTTATCAGCGGCCAGGCGCAAGAGCAAATCCCCGTGGTTTCCCCTTCATGTGAGACACACTAGAGGAGCCAACCACTGCGTCTCTCTCCTCCTCGCCACTCCCATTGCAAGCCTCGCGCGGAGCGGTCCCTTTAGCTGTCCATATCGTCTTCTTGGGCATCACGGGGGTGGCGCCCATGGCTGTCATCAGCCCCAACACAGCCGGATTGTTCTCGTGATTTGATAGAATGACCTCAGAACACGCCAGGCTTCTCAAACGGTCCCAGAATGAATGCTGGGAAGCAGAGATGAGCCAGCTTGGAAGAAGGCCATACTGCCAGAGTACCGGGGGGAGGCCGCGCCACTTGGCATAGTACAGCACATCCGACACGATAACCAAGTCGAACGCCCGTGGGAATGCTCTTGGCAGACGTGTGTCGTGCTGTTGGAGGGAGAATAGGTCGGAGGGAGCGGTGACACAGTGGCCATCACATCTCTTCTGCGTGACGTTGACCATCAAAGGGCTGATATCGCTGCCGTAATGCGTCGCATTAGGATGACTATGGGCCAGCCGCGTCAGGAGGTATCCCAAGTTGCATGCCGTATCCCAGAGAGAGCGATAATGCGGGTGTCTCGCTGAGATAAAGGTGTCGATTTCACCGTGGACGTTCGCCTTGTAGCCCCACAAGCCGCCTTGCGGGTCAGCAGCTGCGTGCAGAGTGTCCCAGAGGTGTGCCGAGGGCTTTAGATACACGAACCAGACGCCTCTCTGCATCCTCTTAAGCAGCGCCGGCTCGAGCAAGGCCGTCCAGCACCAGAAAAGGAGGAGCCCCATGAGCACGGCCACGACAAGGGCTGTCAGGCAGGCCCTTCCTGCCTTCGGGGGCCGTCGTGCTGTCGTCCTTCTCATTCGTTGTGCTCGGTGTCGTTGTGAGGTCTATGTCCGTCAAGTCCCACCCAGTTCACGTTCACCGTGACGCTGCATTCAAGCACAACAGGGAGCGAGAGCGAGCTTGATCCGGCGTTTGACGGCCGTTTGACCCTTCTCGCCTGGTGGTTGTCAGACCTCACAGCCCCCCACGCTTCCAATATGACTGACTTGGTGTCACTGGCTGACTTGGTGATTGACCCCAAGGACCTCACTGTGAGCGACACCGAGCTCGGTCAGCCCCATGAACCCCACAAGGGATATCTGGGGAATCATCATGGTGCGTCTGCTTGCCACCCAGGCGAGGGAGCGTTCGGGAAGGTCTACAGGGGAGAGCTGCGAGGGCAGCCCGTGGCGGTCAAGGTCTACAAAGGCAATGAAGAGCTCCGGGAGTCCGAGCAGTTCATGGAGGTGCTCAAAGAGGCCTTGCCGATGACGCAGCTCCGTCACCCCAACATCGTGCAGCTGAAGGGCGTCTGCAGAGACGACAAGCATGGCCTCATGATTGTGGCGGGTACCCAGCCCATTTTTTATCGTCCTCCTAGCTTTCTCCATGTGCCGCTTGTTCGTCAGAGTTGTGTGAGGGCGGCTCGCTGGCGTCCTACCTGGCGAAGAATGGACCCCCGCCGCCGGACGTGCGAGACAGGCTCCTGAGAGAGGTGCCGGAGACACATGAGAAGAGGAGATCCGTGACGCGTCTCGTTTGTATGTGGCGGCTGCTGTCAGATATGCGAGGGTGTGCAGTATCTCCATAGTCGGAACGTCGTGCACAGAGACCTGAAGCCAGAAAACCTACTGGTCGGTTACGGCAGAATTCCTCTTCTTTCATGGTATCCCAAGTCTCTCGTTGTTCCGAATGCTTGTCAGCTGGATAGGAACCTGACCATTAAGATTTCGGATTTCGGAATGATTCGCGGGGCTCAGAGAAAGACGATTCTCACCGCAAGTATTCACGCCGACAAACAAATGCGTAGCGCAGTTCGTGTGGTGTGCAGCCGGTGGGACGCCCAACTACATGCCTTCCGAGGGGTTTGACACGGACCGTAAGTCCGCAAATGCACAGCAGATCGCTCCATCGTGTGTGTGCATATGCAGTGGACAAGCTGTCTGAGAAGGCGGATATATGGGCGATTGGAGGAATTGCGGTTCAGCTGCATGGAGGTCAGGAGACACGAAAACCAAGTGAGACACAAGACAAGATGGCGAACGTATCCTACAGGTCGGCCGCCTTTTGAGGGGAAAGGCTTGCCGATTATATTTACGAAAGTGGTCGTCAATAAAGAGGTACCGCTATCAGACTTATAAGGCATCGTACACAAATCTATGTCTCCTTCTCCCTGTCAGATTCCGGAAATCCCAGCATCTCTGCCCGCGCGAATCAAGAATCCCATCGAGGCAAACCAAGATGAAGAGAATCCTTATGGGCACTGCACGTCCCTTCTCATCGTGATTGTTGATCAGAGTTGTTTTGCCTTTTGTCCGGCCGATCGCCCCACAGCCAAAGAGGTACCCGATGCACACACGACAGGGAGAAACCACAAGCGATGCCAAACGTCTGACGTCCTGTCTCTGGTCGGCAGGTGCTGGCCAAGCTGGACGTTCCGTCTGGTCCGTCGAAAGAGACAGGTGCATTGATTCCGCTGCGCCTACAATGCGGCAGAGTCGCCATTGCCTGATGCCCTTTCAAATGCATGCAGTCCCGGAGTCGAAGCCTTCGCCTTCTGTCTCTCCTGCTGCTGAGTATCCCGTCGGCCCTTCATCGGGTGCCCACATGAGCATGGCTACCACCACGACGGGACCGCCCAGCACCCTGGCATCGACCTCACCTCAAGCGGGGACTGGTCTGTAGACAGATGGACCAACGATCGACATTACATTCTGCTGCCTGTGTTGTGTGTGCAGGCTCCCGGGTCAAGCACACACTGCACACTCCGGCACAAATCCAGGCCAAGCACACTCCGCCAAAAAATCAAAGATGTACGGGACGACTACGTGAGTCATGTCTCACGCACCTTCTTGTACTTGTCGCCTTTGTATGGGCAGACCGATGTCGTCCTGACAATCGATGACGAAGCGTTGCCGGCAGAGATCAAATACGTAATATCGAAGGAGCAAGGCTGATCCCTCCTGCTTCTCACGATTGTTGCGTATCTTTTGCAGCGAAACATCCACGCGGCAGTGAATGCTGGTGATATCACATCGGTTGCTCAGCTGCTCAACCTCCGTGGGCCGAGAATCCTCGACGACAGGAGAGCTCGATTCTTCTGCTTCAAGGTCAAATGCTATCAAGGGCCCGTAACAACGAGGGAACCTCTGATTTGCATTTGCCTTGCGCAGACCGGAATGACTCCCTTCCTGAGGGCGGCGGAGAAAGGCCATACGCAGATCATGACCCTGATGTTTGAGAAATATGGCCCGTCCATCTTGGAGCAAACAGACCTGGTGCCAATACAGTGAAAGCTCTGGTGGTAATGATCAGGCGTGTGTTGCTGTAATATGATGAAATGCAGAATGATAAGTGGACTGCCCTGCATTTTGCCGCCACCGCTGGCCGTACTGCGGCCGTCAGTCAGCTGCTGGCGTGGGACCCTAAGCTGCTCGATGCACGCACAATGAAGGTAACAGTGCAAACATCTTTCGGATGCCTCGCTGTGTCGATTTTGCGTATGTGTGTGCGTGCAGTTTGGCGAGACGCCATTCATCGGTGCCGCCCGGTGCGGTCAAGTTGACACGATGCGGGCGATGCATTCCAAAGGGGGGAATGACATACTCACCCAACAGGACAGCGTGAGACACACAGATGAAGACACACACGCTTCTCGCCTTGCTGAGTGCTCTTCCCTTTTGTCCATCACATGCAGGATGGCGCCACGGCGCTCGATTTGGCTGGAGAGGGGAATCATCGCGAAGCTTTGGCTCAGCTGTGAGACACACAGATAAACGACGTGAATATTCCGTTCTCACTCTCTTTTGTGTCGAATAGATTGGCGTGGGGTGGGGCGCCCCTACTGGAAATGAAAAACAATGACAGAGACAGACAAGGCCTTGCCCCTGCTCCTGGTGCGACGCCATTCATCGCTTGCACAAAATTGGGGGGAAGTGATGCCTTGGAGGCGATGTATGCCAAAGGAGGGAAACACCTACTGACGCAGCAGGCCAAAGTGAGGGACAGATGTAAAGACAACAATGGAGGATGACTCTATGTGTTCAATTGTCTGTGTCTCTCTCCCTGCAAACGGCATACCAAGGATGGAAACACGGCACTTCACTGTGCTGTAAGTCGTGGTATGTACTATATCACAGAACAAGGTGTGCAGCCAGCCACGAAGTTCTGCTTCTGCTCTGCAGTGCTGACAGTCGTCCTCTTCATGGGTATGCCCTTTATCTTCTTCGGCAACAGACGCGGCCCCAAACTTGTGGCTAAGTTGTGAGAGACACTGATGAAAGATGCGAGCATCACAACTACAGAATTTTTCTCTCCTGCTGTGGGTGTGGGTGGGTGTCAGGCTTGAGTGGGGCGGCGCAGGTCTCTTGGAGATAAAAAACAATCAAGTGAGCAAATATTCCCCGGAAGCTCAGTGTCGCACTCGTCTCGTGCATGCCAACAGGGGAAAACGCCGTTGGAAATGCCTTTCTCGGCCCAAAACAAAAGGACCATGCGGAAGTACAAGGGATCGTCGCTCCTTGGCCGTGCATGTGGCTGTGTGGCTGATGCGTTCAACTGCATATATTGGTCATGTTTGTTGCTTGTGACGTACTCTTTCCTACTGCTACTGTGGCTTGTGATGTACTCTTTCCTACATTTCGTTATGTGGGTGTTTTTCATCGGGTACTTGTTTGTGGTGGTTTTCCTCGGGATGTGGTTGATTCAGTGGGCGTTTTGGGTGGGAGGCAGACGACCATGGGCATGCAGGTTAAGAGGCAGAGATGGGTGCCGCCCTCCAGCGATATTCGTCATACGTGACTGATGTGTGTCGTGTGGTTTGTGGCCTATGTGTCTGATCCCTGAGTGTGTGTGCCATGTAGGCGGGCGATGAATTCCCTGACTGACACGTGGTGTGGTGTAAATGACGCTTTCACTTAAGTGTGAGGGAGTGGAGAGAGTCAGAGTGTCAAACCCCCAGCCGCGGTGTGCAGGCACGAAAGCCAAAGACTCCTGCACACAAACACAACACATGCAAACAACCCAACCCTCAGACAGACAGACAGACAGACAGACAGGCAGACAGACAGACAGGCCCCTCCCTCTCTGCTTCCTCTTCTCATTCACTCCCCCACCTCACTCATCAACAGCAGCTTACTCAAAAACACCTGATGGCGACAACTAACCTGCCTTGTCTTCCCTCTCCCCACACAGCCACGGCCCCTGACACCATCCTTGCTCGCAACTGCCGACAGACGGCCGACGCAGATGTACCCACACCCTCTTTCCCTCCCGTTCTCTGCCTCGTGAAAATCCCCAAGAGCCACGTCCTTGACCACCCAAGCACCCTTCATTCATTCATTCCATGCACCACCCCTCTCATTCACGCAAATTGGTTCAGCGAGTCTTCAAAGATCGCCTGCATGTCGTCATTGCCCAGCCGCTGCCGCACCCTCGCCACAGTCATGGGCTTCCGCACCCCGCCCTGTGCCCTCTCTGTGGTGAACAGGGCGGTGCTCGCCGTCGCACCGTGCAGATACAAGTAGATGTGGGCGGCAAACGTGTCTCCCGGCTGGTCGCCACAGACCACAACGACGCGCTGACGAGGTCCGCCGGGCGGCATCACATGGGACGAGGCTATAGTGCAGCCCCAAATGGGCGGCGCCTGCGTCACCAGCTCTCTCTGAACCAAGCACACATTCACACACAGATGAAGAGAGACAGGGCAATTTCATGTAGGCCTGTGGAATCAATCTGGTGACTAACACTTCGGTCTTGATGCCCCGGCAGGGCAAATTTGGTCGTGACGTATCGTGTCGCACGGCAGTCACGCATACTGACCAATCAATCAGTCAAACCAACCGCAGCCGGGTGTTGTCTTTGTCTTCTTTTCGCTGGTCTCTGTCCTTACTTACCATCTGACCACAGCATCCCGAAACGAGGCCGAGAGGACGTCTCTCATGCGGACTGCAAAACGCAAGAAAAGACAGACAGACAGATGAGACGGCACAACTATCCCTCTCCCCTGACCCGCCCACCCGGAGGGTTTCTATCGTCAAATGGGAAGGGGTGGTTGGCCGGCAGTGTCTGCTCCGTGTACACGGTCAGGCTGAATGACCCCATCTGCTCGCGGCCGTGCCGGGTGCGCCACAGCGTCATCTCAGCGTCGTTTTGCTCGTTGAACTTGTGGCCCGAACAGTGACCACTGCCGGACCGCCTCACATCGCCCATTGAAGACCGCCTTGCCGCCAACCTTCTGCAGGTCGTCACTCGACAGCGTCGCCGGCAGTGTGCTGATGCGGCCGTGGCTCCTGCCCAGCCAAAACAGAGGCGCCCACCGCTCCCACAGGCCGCCGTTCTCCAGCACATAGATGAGCCCCAACACAAAGGTCAGCTGGCCCAGATGTCGACGCAGCCGTCGGCCCTCATTGGGCGGCTGGACACGCAGCACTCCGTCCATGTGGTTGGCCCGCAGAATGCCGTTGACGCGATGAGTGAGGAATGTGACCGTGATGAGCCCCTTGTTGCGCTGGCAGGTCAGGCGGAAGGCGGCCACATCGGCGCCCAGGAATCCGCAGACCATCAAGACAACGCCGTCGGGACACGCTGTCAGGCGTGACTGCTGTGCAGCTGATGCGGATGCGGATGGCTGCTGCTCAGCCGCTTGCCTCGCCGTGCGTGCCGCCTTTCTCTTCATCCCGGATGCTGGAATGGATGCCTTGAATGGATGAGGTCGGCAGCAGAAGCACGGGTCACCTGAGCGCCTCACGGTGAGACGGAGACTTGAGTGCACTCTTGTCCTTGCAGCTAAGCTCGCAGATCTGCAATTTTGAGCTCGCATTTTCTTCTAGACAATTGTTTCGACAAGACCGGCTTCAAGCAACTGCCACGGACGTGTTGATAGAGATGCTGAAGCATCAGGGCCGATATTCGCCAATGCGATTTCATCCGACTCATCGACGCATTTCAGGAGATGCTTGGGAGATGCTCACTCACCTTCGTCGTCAGCTAGCCTCGAAGGGCAGCCCCGGTGCCCTCCGCGTGTGTCCGTGATCCATTGATTGAATGGATGACGAGCGGCCTTGGGAAGTGGTGACCTGCCGCCCCATCAAGCGCAGCAAGGTGGTGCCCTTCATCCTCCGCTCCAGGCGGGAGCTCGCCCCACACCTTGACGCAAGACTCGCCAGGACCGACTCTAGCCCCGTGGCACAGCTGCACAACATGGCGAGCGAATTCCATGCCGATGGAGTGGACGTCGACTCGTTTGTGGTCATCGAAGCAAAGTACGCGACCGATGAGGCAACACTGCAGCTGCATTGGACAGTGTGGATGGGTTTTGCGTTGATGCTGTGCTGTGCTGTGGCTGAAGGAACACGGTCCAGCTGGAGGCGCGTTTTCTGAACGAGCCGCTGACCGGCATTCAGTACTTCCTCTCGAACCTACTGCACAGGTGCGGACAGGCATCATCAACACATTGGTTCATTGGCTGGCTGGCTGATTGGATTGGATTGGTGGCTGTGGATGAATGCGTCGTCCCCTCAGGTATCTGCCAGAGTTCCGTGGGGTGTGGATGGCGCACCACTCGGCCCGTGCTCTCGAGTCGTGCGGCTACACGACGGCCAACTGCGCCGACAACACAGGGTACACCCTGGTGGACGTCCAGCTCAAGTGCCTCGTCTGGCAGCCTGTGCCAGAAGACCTTCTCCGTGGGCAGCACGGATGCTGGCAAAGGCGAACGTATGTGAATCGGTCCGTGTTGTTCAGTTGGTCGGGTGCATTATGTGGGCAGCCACTACATAGCTATCACAGTGCACGGCCTCTTCCCCGCCTTCGTGTCGAGGCAGCGGCTGCCCAAGTACCTCAAATATGCACAGGTCTGATCGGGATAGATGCATCGCACACCCACACACGCACAACCAACTCGACCGCCTTCCTGTCTTTTGTGTGTGTGCCGGCCGACCAGAATCGGTGGTGGTGCGTGGCCGATGAAGGGCAGTCGCTCTTCACGCGATGGAAGAATGCCGTCGACCGTGACATCGACCTGACCAAGGAAGATGAAGAGCACTTCAAGCGTGAACGCGTCAAGGGCGAAATCAAGAGGGAGAGAGACCTGGTCGACGACGATCCAGACATGGACAGGTACCTGGTGGACGCCGAGAGGTCGGCGGCCGAGTCGTCCATCGGCATCGATGACTACGTGCAGTTCCGCGTCGTCAGGTGGGCAACACGAGGGCCCACCAACCATCCTCCCATCCACGCATCCACCACTGGCATCCCTTGTCAATCTGTCAGTTTGCGTGAGGGAAGGGATGGTGGCCTGATGAACCTGGATGGATCGCTCAAAGACCAAAACGATACAGGCAAGCAAGCAGCGCACCCACCACCTGCACCCCCCCGGATACACACTCATCCACTCCTCTTGATTTTTCCCTCTGCAGGTCCAGTCGACGATGAGGGCGTCCTGCGGCCTCTCGTCCCTCTGTTCCAGCCCTCTAATCCCCGCAGCCAGCCGCCCCACCCCATGGACAACATGACCCACCAACCCAAAAAGAAGAAGAAACGGCAAACAACAGACATGGCGGGCCAGCCCCCAGCAGCTGCCGCAGCTGCTGCGGCCGCTTCATCTGCGTCGGCATCTGCATCCGCCCCTGCCCCTGCGGATGACATGGCTGCGCGAGCAAAGAAAAAGAAAAGGAAGGCGCCCGACGAGCAGGAGATGCTGCATCAAGTCAAGTCAGAGCCCGCAGCAGCTGCAGCTGCTGCAGCTTCTGATGGAGCCGCCCAGCCACCGAGCAAGAAGAGGGCCAAGAAGAGGAGGGAGCCCGAGCAGCAGGAGGAACCGGCGGCAGCGGCAGCGGCCGCTGCGTCGAGCGCTGCTGCCGCTGCAGCTGCTGCCTCCTCAGCAGGTGGAGAGGTCAATGGTGTGGTGGATGGGGCGGGTGTCAAGGGTAAGAGGAAGAAGAAGCGCAAAAGGGACGAGGCGGCCCCGAGCGGCGAGGAGGCTGAGGCGGCTTTGAATGGGTGGGACGGGCAGGACGACGAGAGCCAGCCCCACGTGGAGGAGAAACGGAGGAAGAAAAACAAGGACAGGGGAACGGACCGAGCTGAGCCCGCATCAGCAGCGGCTGCTGCGGGCACGGATGTGCATACGAGCAGAGAGGAGGAGAAGGGCAGGGCCAAGAGCGATGGAGAGGGGGAGGGAGGGGAGGGGGATGAGGGCCGCCAGGTGGATGGAGTGGTCAAGAAGAAGAAAAGGAAGAAAAAGAAAAAGAAGGCCAAAGACGACGCCATTGTGATCGATTGATTGACGTGGGGGTGAAATGCGTGTGTGTGTGTACGCGTGTGAGAGGCTTTTTGGTCTGAGTGGGTGGATGTGGGATGGATGGTCGTGGTGTCTGTCTGTGACATGAGAAATGTGTCGTCTGTCCATCCAGCTGGGTGCTCGTGTTTGTGTGTCAAATGAGGACCCACTGATGAGGACCTACCGGGTGTGTGGGTGGGTGTGTGTCCGACAAGGTATCAGATCATCAAACTTGTTTGACTCTGTGCATTCCATTGCTCATCATCAGGTTATTCATTCCTGACCGACGTGGGCTCATGCCTCATGCAGCAGAAAACCACCCAAAGCCCGCACTCTATGAGCCGAATGCGGACTTGAGGTAAATATCTCTCACATGATGCGATGCAAGATCCCATCGCCGACAGAACTCTTCCTAGAATAGAATAGAATACAATACTCACTGGAGCATACAGTCGTCTCAATCACGTTTGCTCAAAAAACCGCCCTGCCCACCCACCCCACGACCGCCCTGTACTCGCACCACACACCCACACCACAGGTGCCTCCCACGGACACACGCCCGTCTGTTTGTCTGTCTGTCTGCCTGTCCGTCTGCTCATCACACAGTCAGTCCATATTCTTCCGGTGCACCCTGTCGGATGCCGTAATCTGGGTGGCCGCACACGTGAAGCCCCGTAGAGCGATCTCACACGCGCCGCCCTGCACCCGCAGCTGCGACTGTGTGTTGGTCCGGAAGTTGAGGATGCCGTCGATGCGGCAGAAGCCCGGCGTGCCGTCGGCCCGGTGCAGCCGGACGGCCTTGATGACGCCCCGCTGGCAGTCCTCTGACAGCGGCAGCAGCTCGAAGGACGCCTGAAGGGCTGTTGACAAATTGCACTGCGGAAGTGACACACACACACACACACACACACAGAGGGAGGGAGAGAGCAGATGGGCATCGCCCGTGTTGTGTTGTGTGGTGGGCTGTGTACTACGAGGAAGTCGGCGATGAATTTGTCGGTGCGCCATCGGGTGCTGCGGCCCTCAGGCGCCGCACGGCACTCCTGCACACACACACAAATGGACACTCACACACAGGTTGGTTTGGGGGGGGGGCGCCCTCCCCTTTGTCTCTTGTCGCGCATTCGGCAACTTACCTTGAGCTCCAGCTCTCTGTTTTCGTAAGTGTCCTGCAGCGATGCGTTCCGATACCACGCCCACTGGTGACGCTGCACGACACACAGCACAGCCCAGCCATGTGCGTTGCATTTGACCTCTATATGACGTGCCCACTGACTGACTTACCAGTGGCTTGGGCTTCATGGCAGTGGGTTTGAAGAAACCCACACGGTTGTACAGCACAATGTCCTGCAGACAGACAGACAGACAGACAGACAGAAAGACAGACAGACAGACAGAAAGAAATGGACCGACCAGTATCAATGCGCAGTCCATGCAGGTGTGTGTACCTGAATGTCCAGCTTGCATTCGCAGTGCTTGTGCTGATCGGCCAGGTACACCTGCAGCCACCATGCGGCCAGCCACAGACAGAAAGGGCTGGATGGCTGGCCATCTCGTGTGCTGTGGTGGTGTACCGATTGTATCTTGGGGGTCATGCTCTTGAGTCCGCTTGACGCCCGCACAGATATCGTCACCGTCTCGCGGCCAAACAAACTGATATTGGCACTCTGACACACACACACACACACACACAGAGAGAGAAGCTATAGCTGCCGTGTGTGTGTGTGTGTTTCTGGCAATGCCGACTGACCTTGGGTGAGAGCAGGCCGTCCTCCTTCTCCCTCTTGACGATGGCAGCATCTTGCATCGGAATGTCAGGACCCGACTGCAAAATTGGTCACACACACACATCCACATACCCAGAAAGGTCTCTCAGCATAGCTGTACGTGTGTGGTGGTCTTACTGCATGTGGTGAGGAGTCGGTGTGCTCGGGCGACCGGCTCACAGAGTGTCTGCACACCACACACCCACACACACAGAGCATCAACGAGTGTGTGGCCCTGGCACATGTGTGTGGTGTGGTGGGTGTTGTGGTGTACCTCACCTCCTCGCAGCGGGCGACTTCTCCCCGCCAGCATTTCTCTCGATGACGACGCTGAAGACGAACTTGTCGATCGTCAGAGGGTCGGGCGGACGCACCTGCAGTACCACCTGAGGCATCCACACACACAGACAGACACATGTGACGAGAGCGGATCGAACGAGCCGGGAGCCACACTGACCTCATTGCACGTCTGGCCGTCGGGCCGCACCAGCAACACCGACCCGGAATCGAGATCGGTGTCCACATGCACCTGACATCCATCCGCACACACACACATTGGGGTCATTCGCCGCTCTGCCGTGATGGTGTTTCTTCTGTTGATCACCTCCACGTTTGGCAGCTCAATGTCAGGGACCTCCTTGACGCGCACCTCCTCCCTTGTCGGTGCCGCCGCCAAGGCGGCCTCAGCAGCGGTCAGGAAATCAGAGCACAGCGACAGGTGGCGCATCTTGTTCGCCTGACGAGCGGGAAGGGAAGCGCACATGCGATATGGGCGCCTGCGCCGTAGGTAGGTTTGTGTGCGTTGTGTGTGTTGATACCACGCTGTTGATGCCCCCCTCGCCGTCTGGGTCGTCGTCGCTGCTGCCCATCCCACTCACAGACGAGCTGGGGACAGCCGCCTGAGACATGATACCTGCTCCACACACACACAGACACACACGCACCAGCATTGCTCTCTGCCGCCGGTCTCTCTCGTCCCATCTCATCTCATGTGACCTTGCCGCACGCCGTATTGGACGTCTGTCTTCATGTCGCCGATCATGGCGGTGAAGTTGTCCTTGGACGCCCCGCCCTTGGCCGCCTGGCCGCCGCTCGCCATGGTGCTCCAGTGCTCCATCAAAGGCGACACCGCACGCTCGGGCGACTGCACACACATCATCAATCAGATAAACGTGTTTGTGTATGTGTGTATGTGTTGAGTCCACTCACTCACCTGTTTTCTTCTCAGCTCTTGCGGCTGGTCATGGTGGGCTCTGCTGCGGCCGCCGGCACCCGGACCGCCCTCGCCATCTGCAGACACACAAGGCCATATACACACCTAGAGAGCCCATACACTCACCTTGTGAGCGTGAAGATGACGACACGGCCGGCGAGAGGGGCGTGAAGCGGTGTGGGCTCATCTTCCGATCCTCTACAGGACTCTCAGCCACACGCGAAGGGGGCAGCGGAGGCCTGATGGCCACGGACACATACACGTCGATCGGTCCATTGACCAAGGGAGCAAGATGCCTGCCTGCACTGACCTCGTGGCGCTTGGCCGTGGATTGGGGAGGGGGAAAGATGCGCTCGTCTGTGGCGGCAACGGCCGCGGGGGCGGGTGGAACAGTGGCTGCTGCTGTTGCTGTTGCTGTTGCTGTTGCTGACGGTGCTGCTCGTATGGTGATGGGTACATGGGCGGCTGGTGGTGGTAGGGCAGCAGAGAGGGCGGCATGGAGGACGACTGCAGCAGACTGCCAGCAAAACAGACGCAGCATGGAGAAAGAGAGAGAGTGAGGCCAACCGACTTCGAGTGAGCGTCCATCTGATCTGATCTCTGCTCACCCCTGCATGGCCGCCTGCTGTGTCATGGCGTCGCTCTGCATCATCATCTGCGTCCCCGCCCCTCCGTTTGCACCACCACCACCAGCCATCATGCCCATCTGCATGGGCTGCTGCTGGCCGCCCACGCCTGCCTGGCTGCCGATGCCGATGCCCATGTCACTGTCGCCGTTTTCGCTGCCTCGAGGTGTGGGCGTCATGCTCAGCGACGGCAGCCGCGGGACGCCGTAGTCCATACCTGACATTCACAGCCGCAAGCAACCACCACATGCGGGAGTGACACACTGCTTCGGCTCCTTCGAATGCTTTGCTCACCCTGTGATTCATCCTGTTTTCGGAAGAATGGGTCGTTCGTCAGCTCTGCACCCGGACAGACGCGACGAATGTTAGTGTGTGGAGTGAGTGTCTGAGTGAGGTACCATCCGTACCGTCATAGAGCCCCAGCGGTGCATTGCTGCTCATGTCTGATGGGAGCCGTGCCAGTGGCTGTCCCGGGTACTCATAAGGGCCGTCTCCAGGAGTACCCATGCACCCTTCGCCAAAAACACGATTGTCACCTGGCGGTGTCACACAAGCAAACACACAAACACACAAAGACACGCACAGACACACAAGCACACAGTTATCCATCCATCCACCAGTGCCTGACAAGCAGAGAAGTGGGCTCTTTGCGTTCAGTACCACAAGAATGAGCCCGTCGGTCATGTCAGTGCGACGCACACTCGTCGAAGGACCCTGACAACTGCTCTCTGGTGAATGAAAGGCCTGGAACGGTGATCTTTCAGTCGTTGGTCTCTGTTCGCGTTGCGCAAGGAATGCAATGAGACCCCTCCGTGTCCGGTGGGCTGTCGCTTTGACGAGCCGCCTGCCCTACGCCTCCCTGCGAGCTTCAGAATGCAATGAGTTGTTTCTGAGGCCCTCTCTGATCTGTGTAAGTCGGCATCCGTAGATCTTGTGAGAATCCGGTCAGCCAGGCGAAGACCATCGCCTCCAACGGCATCGGCTGTCCGTAGGAGTCGTTGGTCAACGAGCGCTTTGCCCGTCGACGGAGATGACTTGGGAGGGGACAGGGAGGGAGGGAGAGAGAGAGAGAGAGAGGGAAGGCGTCAGATCTGCTGCAGATTTCAGCTCGCGATCGGACGGGAGGTGAAATCACTGCAATGGGGCCGCTGCAGTGATGGGCTCAGTTGTGAGTGTGAGGTGAGCGCATTGCCATTGCCTTGGACACATCGTCAACACACAGTCAGCCGTGTCATGTGTGTCTGTGAGATGCTCGAGGGTCACTGCACACAGAGAGTGAGAATGGACACTCTGTGTGTGTGGTGAACATCGAGTCTCACACAGCCAGCGCACCAACTCTGCCTGCATATGTCGATCAAGCAATCGATTACTCGTTCCTGCGTCACTGACTGACAACGTGGACTCGCTTGTCCAGGCGGAAAGGTAGGTAACACAGCAACACACAAACCCACACCCCTCCCTGGCCTGCACGAGACCATCGATCAATCTGTCTTGCTAGAGCGATCTCAGCACACCGAAAGGAGACGCAGCTCAGCTCAGCTCAGCTAACATCATCAATCAGCCCATTCTTCCACCATGGACCACTTCCCTTCTGACTGCATTCATCTGCTGCCGCAACTCTTCAGCTGCCCCGCGCATGTCCTGACACACACATACACATGCACATACCATGCACACAGATGCGCCAGCCACGTGTTGGGAGATTGGTCCCCACCTCAGCTCGTGAGATGGCTCGTGACACGGGCATGATCATCCCCAGACCGTCCGGACGAAGTCCTGACACACACAACACACATACAGTACACACCCATCAAAACACAGTGGTGGCTCGGTATCAATGGCACACACACGAAGGAAAGCATTGGTAGGTGCTGTCCTTAGGTACCGGCTGTGAGGGCCTCCTTGAGGTCGCCTCCTTGTGCGCCAATCCCCGGCGCCAGTATCCACACATCAGGGCACTCCGACCGCACCCTCCGCAACGCTTCACAGTCAGTCGCCCCCACCACCAGGCCCACGTTGTTGTCGTGGGTCCGACCCAGCCGCTCACACAGCCTCGCCACGTGCAGGTAGAGCGGCCTGCCGTCACTCATCGCCAGTGCCTGCAGGTCGTTGGAGCCAGGGTTGGAGCTCTTGCACACGACGAAGGCGGCCTTGCTGCCGTCCTCTATAAACGGCACGATAGAGTCGGTGCCCATGTACGGGCTGAGGGTGACGGCATCGGCCTTCAGGTGATGGTAAGAGGCCGTCGCATAGGCAGCAGCGGTCGAGCCGATGTCGCCCCGCTTGCAGTCGAGCAACACAGGGATGTCCTTTGGTATCTTGGCGATCAGCTTGGCCAGCAGCTCCAGCCCGGGGCCGCCCAGAGCCTCGAAGAAAGCAACGTTGGGCTTGTAGCAGCAGGCCACGGCAAGGGTGGCGTCGATAAGGCCGTCACAGAAGGCCTCGACGTCGGCTGCGGTGGGGAGGGAGGAAGAGTCGGCAGAGGTGGTCTTGTTGAGCAGGGAAGTATGCGGGTCGAGGCCGATGCAGAGGATGGAGTCGACGGCACGGATGCGGGCGCACAGACGGGGGAAGAAGGCCGTCGAGTCAGACATCACCGGACGGGCCCGATCACCAGCTGCAGCCACTTGCAATTGATCGATGTGCAGATCTATGCAGCATCCACTCTTGCTGACCTGCTGTGGCTGCAGATGAGACGTAATTCGGAGCTCCCTCTTCCCGTCTGCGAGCTTGCTGCGAGCTCGGGAGATGCAACTAAGGCGCTGCGGCCCTCTCGTGATCTATATAGTTTGGCATCCGTAGATCTTGCAAGAATCAGTCAGCTGTCTGTCTGTCGGTTTGGCTTCCGAGTCAATCAAAAACGACGCCGAGGTGAGTGAGCAGAGAAGACAGTCACACGAAACGCTCAGATACGCCTGACCCTCGGGGGTGTTTGTGACAGGGCTGCAATGCATTCAGCGCGCCTAGTCGATTGATTGATTCATCGCTGCATAGCGACCGGATGGAGCGGGGCGAGGGAGGGCGGTGAGGATGTGCTTGTCTGTCTGATGTCTGCTGGGACGGTCCGCACGTTCAGGGTCCTCACCTACAACATCATGCACAGGGTGAGGCGGGTCAGCCACCCGCAATGACATGGCACACACACAGCGCAGCGAGGGTCGGCATGTGATGTGCCTGTCATTTCTCACTCTCTCATCGGTCGGTGCAGCTGGACGCTCTGCGGTCGTCCAAGTACTTTTATTGCGCCCCGAGTGTCCTCAAGTTTCCGGTGCGGATGTCCAGGATAGAGAAGGAGCTGCTGCACCATGACCCCGACATACTCTGCCTGCAGGAGGTCCGTCACACACAGGCAGACAGACACGCAGAGGTGTGCGCGTGTGTGATGTGTGTGTCGGCTGTCTGGAAGGCTGAGCAGGTGTCACTGGACCAGCTGTCGACCTCTCTGGGTGCGGGGGGATACCGTAAGGCGGTGCACATGTTCAACTCGACGCTGCCGAGCGGGGACGGGTGCGCAATCTTCTACAGGTACGTTCCTTCTTTCTGTGTGTGTCCGTCGGTGTCATCATGTGTGTGTGTGTGTGTGTGCGTGTGTGTGTGTGCGTGTGTGTGTGTGTGTGTGTGTTGGGGCGGTTGTGCAGGCCCGAGGTATTCCGGCTGTTGTCGACACAGACGTTTCGGTTCAATTCGCTGCTGGACAAGTGGTTCAGCCAACACATGCACATGACCGGCACAGATGTAAGGCAAGCACATCCATCCATCCATCCATCAATTCCTCCATGTGGTTGTGACTCCATTGTGTGTTGCCAGGTGCAGTGGGCTCTGTGGCGTGAGCTGAAGGAGAAGCTCAACATGGCCGTCATCGCATCCTTCTCACTCATGCCCGTGAGACACATACACGCACACAAACGGATATATGGCTGGAAGTGAGTGAATGCTGCCCCTGTCTTTTTCTCTGTGGGCGTCGAATCAAATCACTCAGAGCGGTCCAGTGGTGCACGTGGTGTCGACCCATCTCTTCTGGGACCCTCTCTTCCCCGACATCAAGCTCCTACAGGCCTACATCCTGGCAAAGGTAGGAGATGGGTCGAATTCACACCACCGGCAGACAGACACACCGGCAGACAAACGTGTGTGTGCGAGCCACCAGGAGGTGTCGGCGTATTGCGAGGAGTTCGCCAAGAGCAGTCCCGAGAAGCAGCCGCAGGGCGGTTGCATCCTGGCGGGCGACTTCAACTCGGTCCCATACAAGGCAAATCGACACACACACACACAGACCGACCGACAGACAGGCATTCAGCGGCACCCTGCCCCATTGCTGTGTGTGTGTGTGTGCGTCAATCAGGTTCACGCCGATCGGTATGACCCCGAGCTGCCCTCTCTCGCCGCCCGGTATCAGGCGCCCGCCAAGAGCGGATCACGCACGCTCAACCAGTCGCTCAGACACCCTCCCGTAAGCTCCTCCCGCACACACGCACACACACATGCCGTGTGAAGCTATCTACGTTTTGTCCACTAACAGGTCCCCGAGACCCATCCCCCCTCATCGAGCCCTCCGTCTGTGGCTGTGGCCCGGCCGGGCAGCCCCACGCCCCCTTCGCCCTTCCACGTGCAGGGCTTCTCCATGCGCACCACACGGTCTGCCGCCGACCCGCCAGCTGAAATCGCCGGCAGCAGTGAGCCGACCGAGCAGCAGGGAGACAAAGGGCGGACTGATGGTGATGGTGATGGTGTTGCTGTGGAGAGCGAGAGTGCGGAGGATGTTGGTCGGCTGTACAGTGGTGTGTACCAGCTGCTGACACAGGGGACGGTGGGGGCGGACCATCCCGACCATCCGGTGAGTAAGCCACTTGAGTCACTCGGCTGGTTCATGCAGCAGCAGCAGCAGACGGAGCCTTTCTCTGCTGTATGTGTTGTGTTGGTCAACCAGGTGACCCGTCGGCACAAGATCCCGATGCAGGCGGTGCCTTCGTTGCAAGTGCAGCCCTATCGGAGTGCTTACAGAGAGGTGTTCGGCCAAGAGCCTCAGTTCACCAATTACACGGTGGCATTCAAAGGTAAGCGATATGCACCGGTGGCCCCACCGGAGGGTGTCAAGCTTGACACGTGTGTAACAAATGTGCATGGTCTTCATTCAGGGTGTCTCGACTATCTGTTCTTCGAGGGGCCCGACCTCGTGGCCGTCGAGGCCATCAAATTGCCACAGGAGGACGCACTCAGGTGAGCACCCCACGCCGCACACAGATACACACACACGGATGCACACACAATGTCCGACAAATAGAGCTGGTCCATCTATCCACTGTCTGTCTGTCTGTGTGCGTGTGTGTGTGTGTGTGTTATTGTGTGCAGCCAGCACACGGCCCTCCCCTCTGCCCTCTTCCCATCCGACCACCTCCCCCTCATGGCCGAATTCGCCATGCTCGCACCCCAATGAGTCAGTCAGTGAGTGCTCCGTCGGCTGCCGTGTGGTGGCCCCTCGGCTGTGTCCGTGGTGACCGACGACCATTGTCATGGGCAGAGGTGTCCGGGTGCGGGGTAGAAGGCCGTGATGGGCACGAGTATGCCCGTGTTGACCTCCTCGAACAGCAGGTCCAGGAAGCCCGAGGGGATGCCCGTCGTCGAGCGGATGCGCGACTTGTCACCGAGAATACCTGCACACACACAGACAGACAGAGAGGGGAGGGGCGTGGTGACTGGATGGGACCGTGTGCATGTTCGTGTGGACAGACTGTATAGCCTCTGACCTGTGATATTGCCCGCCAGAAAGGCCACAAATTCGCTCTTTTCGTTGACATGGGGGTCGAAAACGATCTCGGCCAACGGGAATATGGCACTCAAGATGCTGTACCGACCTGCAGCCATGAGAGAGGAATACACACACACACACACGCACATTCTTGTCCACTAAGACGTGATGCACTCACCTGAGTAAGCGGTGACCATCTTGAGCTCTGCGCCTGCCTGCTGCAGGTCGTCAAACGTTTTCCAGGCTGCACAGACACAAGACACACACACACACACACACACACATATGAGAGAATCATTGCACCGACACACGCGCAAGCGTCCCTCACTCTTGAGTCTTGACACGGACACAATGTACTGGTTGATGGCGGCGTCGCAGCCCACGTCGAAGGCCACAGTGCGCCCCATCATGCCCTTTGGGGACGTCCTCTCGCCGATCAGCCCGCCCTTGGCAAACCACGGCAATGTCAGGTCGACATTGCCGCTGTTCAACTCCTGACAGCCATCAGTGAGACACCGACAGTTGCCGTGTCTCACTCCCCCACTCACTCACCGCGAGTGTCTCTGCCGCCGAGCTGTACTTGATGACTTCGATTCCCAGCGGCTCGCCGATGTAGTGCCGGCCAATGGTCGCTGCCTCGGCCCGGGCGATGTCGATGGCCGTCCGAATTACCGGGGGCTCCGCCTCCTCTTGCGGCAACACAAAGGAAGCCAAGTTCAACGACTGACAACAAAGGGCAACAGAACAACGAGAGGCAGCGTCTTGTTTCTCTGTCTTTGTGTCCTTCTGTGAGTGCATGCGTATCACCTTGCGCTCGAGCGCTTTTTGCAGCCTGCTGCCGTTGACCACCGGCGGCCATGGGAACTGGGCGGTGTCCAAACCACAATCGATTGCCAACCTGACACAAACAATCACACAGAGGGCAATCAGAGGAGAGATGGCAGTGAACACAAAGGAGAAGACAAAGCAAAGCCCATCTTATCTTCGCCCACCGGTAGTTGGTCTCTCCCGCCCCGCCCTCCTCGACGGGCGCCGCCCACCTGGCCATGAGATTCTGATTGCCCTCGGCCGCCTTGAGCTCCGTCAGCGCACGATTCATGGCAAACATGATGCTGCGGTCGACCAGACACGCCAAGCGGTTGCCGGCGGGGTAGTAGAGGCTCGTGTTGACCGACACCACCGGCAGGGACGTGAATGCCTCAGTGAGGCAGGAGGGCGGGAGGGAAAAGAGCAGCAGGATGGGGCAGAGGAAGAGGACCAAAGGGATGGAGATGCCGAGATCCTGCGATTTGACGCCGCTGTGGGGCATCAGTCGATATGGATTTCCCTCCTCCGTCGGGCTGGCGGGATCGCTACGCTTCGCGAAATGCATGCAAAGCCCCAAATCCCCCAAGCTCGCATGCGAGCCCCGAAACGGAACCGAAGGGATTGCAAGCTTAGCCTCATACGAAAGGAGCCGGAGCGGAAGCGGATTCAGTGAGGGTAAGATGGCACTCAGAGAAGCAAAGGTGGCATCGAAATGCCAAAAAACAGAAGCTCTTTCGTGTCTTCGTGTGCCTGCAGATCTCTCACGCACATGACCCCACAATCACGACTGATGCAGCCCACTGGTGCAGCGCCCTCGTCGCAGCCCCCCAGCGATGCCCTCTTCCAGCCCGCCGACCTCTTTGACATGTCTTTGCCCATCAGCAAGATGGCCCGCATGGCCATGTCGACTGACAATGCCACGCGAGCCGCTCTCCGCTCACAGATCGTCACCCGCACTCAGCAACAGGAGCTGCTGGGAATCTTTCGCAACTCCCTTCTTTCCTCAGATCTACTGTATGACATCGACCAGACGTCTCGGGGCGTGGCAAAGATGCACATCCTGTACTTCACCGGCTGGACTTCACCAAACATCCACTTCAAGAGGCCCAGCGGCCGCTGGACAACACCTCCCGGCGTCCAGTGTGATGCATTTGGTGCCGACGGGGTATTCCATGCGGTCGTGCCGTCACATGCCGTAAGCTGTACATCGCACGGAGAGACAATGCATCATTCGTCTGATAGATCAGCTTGTTTTGCTTTCATTCCTCGAGTTTGTCTTCACTGACGGAAAGGGCTGCTGGGATCATGTCCCTGGAGGTGGGGTGATGAATGAAGACGAGCTCCTTGAATGCTTTCTTTCTCTGTTTCTGGGTGTCTTTTGTGTGTGCAGGCTGCAACTATGTCCTTCGCGAGTCGGGACTCTATTTCGTCATCGACGGGGCCGTCCTCCGCCCCGTCGATCTCCGCCAGCGACAACATCTGTTGCCGCTCGTCAATCGTGGCGTCGATGCTGCATTGAAGAAGGCTCCAAGTACAACCAATACATACATGTGCCAATTGTCATCAGCTGGTCGTGTCTGTGTCGCTGTCACAGGCCTCAGGCAACAGGAGCTGCTGGGCCACACCCCGACGACCGTCACCAGCACGCTGCTCAACGGCGTCCAGCAGCACATCGACAGGGCCATCAGGCGTCTCGGCTTGGAGGACGTCTTGGCCTTCGACATTGATGGTGACGTGGAGGGCGGCTTGAGATTCGTCTGGCTGCTGGAGCAGGGCAGCGGTGAGGAGTGGCGGTCGTTGGGGCGGTTTCTTCGACTGGCCTTCATCTATCGACTGACCCCCGCCAACACGACGCGGCCCCTTTGGCTGTCGGCCAACTCGCTGCCCACAGCAACGGCCTTCCATCAACTGCCGATCGCAATGGCCATCTACAGGGTCATCGGCCATATGCTGACACATGGAGTGCTCAGCCTGGCGCTGCAGCAAGCCGACAATGGGGGCTATAGGATCGGCAATGACTCGTTTCATGTGGTGCCATTAGGTGATCTGCCGAGCGGCCATCGCTACACCAACGGCTACAAGCGGACCGACCCCGCCATCCGCTGGTACTACTTTCTGTTCCCCTCATTCTCATCATTCCTGTTCAACGGGCTGCTCTGGAGGTGGTGCTACGAGCATGGGGTGGATGCGAAGATTGTGGTCTATGCAGATATCGGCCGTGATGACCCTCGGTATGGCCGTCTGCTGACCGAGGGCATCACAGAGGATCTGGGCATCGCCGCCGTGGACTATCGCTACGACCAGGTCAATCTGCCTTATGGAAATGCGAGTCACGAGTGTCGTGTGATAGTGAGCGGCTTCAGACCCAACGAGACCGTCGCCGCCTTTCTGTGGGTGGGGTTTGGCCGCATCTGTCTGTACACGACCGAGCGATTTGCTGCTGATGCGCCGGCATCGCTAACCCAGCGCTTCCCCGAGTCGATTGGTGCCGTCCGCCGTGTGCTGCGGCCATTCGGTCTCGAGCGTGACGTCATCGACAGGGGGACGGTGGTGCCAGGTCTGTCTGACTGAGCAGTGGTGGAATGCGTGCGTTGAACGGGTGGTGCGACTGATTGTAATGTGTGTGTGCCATGACTGGCTAGATGTCGTACTCTTTTCTGTTGGACTCGATGACTGAATGGCTTCACTCACATGAACGAGTGAGCAAACAGCACAATTCATCGGCAAACTGAAACTCGCTTCAATGCTTTGGTTTGGTGTGCTTGGGTGGCTCGACATACTGACGAACACGATGCATGTGAGTTGATGCACTGACAGGACGTCACCACACACACACACACACAGAGAGAGAGAGAGAGTGAGTCCACTGCGCACAATGTAATACTGGTGGGCATCCGACACATCGCTCTCTCCTGGGCCTCAAACCGTCTCCCCCGTCTCCATCAACAGACAAACGACCCTCCCCGCCCGACGCCCTACACCAAACAAAACACACGTCAAGCCACATTCCATGACACATTCCCCCGTGTCTTAACTTACCGGCTGGACGCACTCCTTGTCGCTCCAGTCGCCCTTGTCGCCCCTGAAGTGGCACACGGGGGGCTGTCAGGCCGACATATACAACTGAAAACAACCAACACATTCAAAATTTCAGATGGCTCAGCCAGTCTCCTCATTAAATTTTCCCCCATGAGCTCACGAGATGGATCCCGGGGCTCTCGAATTCAACCTGCATGCACAACACACCGAAACACGGTTTCATCTGGTCCTTTTCGTCCCCCTCAGACAGACACAAGACACACACACACACATGAGAATCATTGCAGCGACACACACGCAAGCGTCCCTCACTCTTGAGTCTTGACACGGACACAATGTATTGGTTGATGGCGGCGTCGCAGCCCACGTCGAAGGCCACAGTGCGCCCCATCATGCCCTCGGGGGACGTCCTCTCGCCGATCAGCCCGCCCTTGGCAAACCACGGCAATGTCAGGTCGACATCGCCGCTGTTCAACTCCTGACAGCCATCAGTGAGACACCGATAGTCGCCGTGTCTCACTCCCCCCCTCACTCACCGCGAGTGTCTCTGCCGCCGAGCCGTACTTGATGACTTCGATTCCCAGCGGCTCGCCGATGTAGTGCCGGCCAATGGTCGCTGCCTCTGCACGGGCGATGTCGATGGCCGTCCGAATTACCGGGGGCTCCGCCTCCTCTTGCGGCAACACAAAGGAAGCCAAGTTCAACGACTGACAACAAAGGGCAACAGAAAACATTAAAGGCTGCCTGTCTCTCTGTCTTTGTGTCCTTCTGTGAGTGCATGGACGCCACCTTGCGCTCGAGTGCTTTCTCCAGCCTGCTGTTCTCAACCACCGGCGGCCATGGGAACTGGGCGGTGTCCAAACCACAATCGATTGCCAACCTGACGCAATCACACAGAGGACAACCAGAGGAGAGGTGACCGTGAACACAAAAGAGAAGACAAAGGCCCATCTTCGTTCGCCCACCGGTAGTTGGTCTCTCCCGCCCCGCCCTCCTCGACGGGCGCCGTCCACCTGGCCATGAGACTCTGGTTGCCCTCGGCCGCCTTGAGCTCCGTCAGCGCACGATTCATGGCAAACATGATGCTGCGGTCGACCAGACACGCCGACCCGTTGCCGGCGGGGTAGTAGAGGGTCGTGTTGACCGACACCACCGGCAGGGACGTGAATGCCTCAGTGAGGCAGGAGGGCGGGAGGGAAAAGAGCAGCAGGATGGAGCAGAGGAAGAGGACCAAAGGGATGGAGATGCCGACATCCTGCGATTTGACGCCGCTGCGAGGCATCAGTCGACTCACGAGGCTGCCAGTGGCGTCTCCTGCCAGTGGTACTAGCCCCCAGCAGCCCCCAGTCTCCGAAGTTTGAATGATTCTCCCTTCCCTCCCCCGATGACGAGTTTCAAGGACCTCATCGACCGGGCCAAGCCCTCTCTGGAAAGCCCCACCGCCCTCAAGTTGGCGCAGCTCGGCTCCCTGCTGCCACACGACGTGTGGCAAGGCGTCGACATCGGCCCTCGTAACGAGGTGACTATTGGGATGCATGGGAATACGGCGACACGACTCCCACGTGCTGTGTTCTGTGCGTCCAGGTGGATATCAGGAGGCCCGGCATCCACATCGTCAGTACCCTCACGGGCAGAGATGGGAAGACAGCTTCTGACAGGCGCTGAGACGTCTGACCTTGTGTCTGTTGTGTGCTGTGTGTTGATCTTCTCAGCTGTACCGGTCGGGCTGGCACTGCCCAGTGTGCCACTACAGCCGGCAGGGGTCGGCCGAGTGGGCTGACCGTGAGTGCCTGTCGCTCGAGGGAGGGCTGTGGTATCTGCACATTCAGTAAAGGGTAAGCAGGGCGAGGGAGGCAAAGGCAGGAAAGTCAATGTAAGAGGATGCCTTGGTGCATGCAGGCCGCCGACTTTGTCATGTGTGACGCAAGTCACACTGAGTGGGACAATCCTCCGTCACTCACAGGAAGTGAGCGCTTCAGAACGACAGACGCCGTCATCCAAATTGCTTGCGCCTCTGCTGTGCTACTCTCAGAACTCAATTACAGCGCCACCGCGGACGGCGTGTACCTCCTCCAAGACGGAAGGCTGGACGTCCTGAGGTGTAACGTGGATTATGTCGGTAAGAAGCTGATCGATGAGAGACACAGGGTTTTTCATCGTGAATCCAGCTGCTTGTTTGTTCGTCAGACCGGCTGTGTATCCTCGACAAGGCGGCGCGTGGCGTAGCAGAGGCGCACCTTCTCTACTTCACCGGCTGGACGTCGCCCCGCATCCACTTCCAAAAGCCCACCGACGGCCGCTGGACAGACCCTCCAGGCATCGTGTGCAATGCGTTTTCCGACCGCTGTGTGTGGCATGCGCAAATGCCATTCCATAGCGTAAGCTGCAGTGCACACCGCACAGAGACCCACGAGTGGGTGAAATGTGCTTTCTCTTATGCCAAATGTGTATGTGTCTCCACTCAGCGTCTCGAGTTCGTCCTAAATGACGGGAGCGGCTCTTGGGATCACGCTCCAGGAGGTGAAGGAAGAACCACACGGTCTGGATATCCTTCTCTGCTTGTCACTGTGGTGCGTTTTGCGTATGCCTGCAGGTGGCAACTACGTTCTCCGAGGCGCAGGCCTGTACTTGCTGGTTGACGGAGAAATCCTGCGGCCGGAGTCTCTTCGTCATCATCGGCAGGACCTTCTCCAGTCTGTCGTCCCTGACCTGAGAGCCGCACTGGCAGAGGCCTCAGGTGCGACACAAATGCGATAAAGTGGTTGATCATCTGTGTCTCTCTTGTCGTGTCGTTGTTGTAGCTGGCCCCTTCGTGACGCCCAGCGCAGCGGTCTCGCCCACCGCCAGCGACACGTAAGGAAAGCCAAGACTGCTGCTGAAATGCTGAGAGGGAATCGTGGCATGTGGTCTATCTGCTTGTTGACCTACCTGGCTGGCTGCAGGACCAGGGCGACCGAGCGAGCGAGCGAGCGAGCCTGCCGCCCAGCTCCCCACCACCCAGCTCGCCTTCCACATCGCCTTCACACTCAACGGCCAGGGCAACCGACACGTGAGTGTAACAGAAAAGCCACGAAAAATGCACCTGATAGACTCGACTCCTGCTGTTCAGCATGGCGAGAGCGACGCCAAGTGCGAAGATCGGACCACTTCTCGTGAAGATCAAGGATTTGCGGAAGGCTGTCAGAAGGCTGTCCGACATCTCCCCGGAGGACATATGGGCCCAGATACGTTCCCTGGTCAAACCCAATCAGCTCATCCGCCTCCGGCCGGTCAGCTCACCCGACCAGCCCACCCGACCAGCCCACCGCATCGAGAACTGCCGAAGCACAGCAAGCGGAAGCACAGCAAGCGACGTTTGACTTGGCCGCCCCATGGCAGCAGGTTAGAAATACGAAGGAAAAGACACGTTTGTGTCAGTTGTCGTGATGTTGCAGGATCACGATACAAGAGACCTCCAGCGACCGGGGCTGCACCTCTACTACACACTCAAGTCAGGCAACAGCGGCAACAGCAACAGCAGCGCTAGCAGCAGCGGCAATAGCAGCAGCAACAACAACAGCAGCAGCAACGGCAATAGCGAGCAGATGCAACTGAAGTGTGAGTATGTCGTCGGCTTTATAGGATCGGATCCGTCAAAGCATCGTCTGGACAGCAAGGAGTGTCTCCAGCTAACGAATGAGCTGTGGTATGGTCATGTTGAGCAGAAGGTGAGCCGAGACACATCAAGGCGGACAGCTGGGTACGGTTGTTGTCGGGCTGCCTACCTTCTCTTTCAGTCAATGTGCTTCGTGATGGGCATCACCGAGGGGGGCAGGGAGAAAGAGTGGGATGCGCCCGTCGGCACTGACGGAAAACGTAAGGCCAGCGGCACTCATACAGCCATCAAGCAAAGAAGAGAAAATCAGTCTCGGTTTGCTGGCGCGTCAGAGGGCTACGATTCCATCGAGCAGGAGGGCGTCCATCTGTTGAATGAAGGCGTTGTCCACACACTCTGGTGCGAGGACATGATCGCTCGTGAGGCCTGTCTCGGTGAGAAACGACCAAAAATGAAAAAAACAGTCGGCTGCAAAATCCTCCCTGTCTCCTTCAGACATTCTGTCGCTGCTCGACAAGGAGGCAAAAACAGCGAAGAGGGCCCACATCCTGTACACGACCAGCTGGATGTATCCCCGCTGCCACTATCGACGAGCAGACGAGATTTCCGACAGCGGGGTGAGGGAGGAGAAGTGGACCCTTTCGCCCGGTGTGAGGTGTGAGGGGGTGCCAGAGGGCGGGGGAGACCTCTTTCACGTCTCGATGGCCTGGCACGAGGTCAGAAGACGCATAAGGACACAGTCGGCACCTTTGTGTCGGTCATCGTGTTGTCTGCCCTGTCAGAATCTGCGTGTTCTATTCAATGATGGCGATCGACGAAGAGCCGCCTGGGATCATCCTCAAGGCAAGACACGACTGGCACACAGTGTCATGACACTGGCGGGTTACATGTGTGTCTCTGTGTTTCCCTCTCCAGATGGCAGCGGCGCCTATCTGATTCCCTCGCCGGGCTTTTACATCATATCGCAGGGCTGCATGTACTCGGCCTCCACCTTCAACGCGGCTGAAGATGGTCTCCTTCGCCGGATATACCAGCTGCTGGAGGCAAAGACGGCCGACATGGCCGGTACGCAACAGAGACACGAACAGCCCGAAGAAGTCAGATGAGTCCTTGTGTATGTGTGTGTATGTGTGTGTGTGTTGTGTGTCTCAGCTGCCGACGAGCATCGTGAGGCGCAAGCGGAGCTCCGTGCCTTGGCCTCGCGGCTGAGCACAGTGAGAAGCCAGGAGAGTCGTCCTTCAGAGCGGTCGGACAGGAGGCATCACATAGGCGACTAACATCCATCGTGGGACACACAAGACCAAGACATAGGGCACTCTGATGGCGTGGTAGTACGTGCGCCTGTAGGATAGGATGCGATGAGTTGCAGTCGGGTTTGTGCCGTGAGTGAGGGGTCTGTTTGCTATTTTTGCGTTGATGGAGATGTGAGACTCACTCACTCACTCACGATAGATGGGATGGATAACCTATGTATGTATCCTTCGAGAGACACACCGACAGCCAACGGCTCGGCGACTTCTTTGCGTGTGTGTGTGTGTGTGTTGGATGAAAACTGGCCAGCCAAGCTTTGAATCACTGCATGTGTTTGTCTGTCTGTGGCTGTCCATCGACTCATGAATGCAGCCAGCCCCGCACAGAGACGAATGAATGGACGAGCGAGCTGCTGTTGGTCCGCCGGGCACACCGTCGGCTTCGCCATGAGCGTGACAGGCAGACACACACCAACCATCCATCCATGAAGCGGCCCAGCAAGGCAGCAGGCACACGCCACGCACACACCGATGTCCTCCCTCAATCCCCCCCTCCCTCCCTCAATCCCTGTCTGTATGCGCACACACACACAGACAGACTGCAGACAGGCAGACAGACAGAGATTGCACACCGACCGCCTTGAAGGTAAAGGTTCAATCACACATCGCATGTGTACACAGTCCGCCACCCTGTCCACCTGCAGCACAGATTCAGTCCTGACACACAACTTGAAGGCATGAGGCGCGTGTGTGGTAACGGGGCGGGGGGGCTGGGGTGAGGGGTGTGGGCGGTGTTGAGACAGCGTCAGGAGACAGCAAAGCTGCTGGTGCTGTTGGCCCCGCCCCTGCAGGCTAGCGTCGCACACTATGTGTGAACAGACGAGTCGGATTGACTGGTGAATATGTTTCTGTGGGGAGAGAGAACCTCCATTGTATCCCGTTATATAAGAAAATCCGTCACCCACTGAAGGACGCCATCCACTCCGTCCCATCACGCAGACTCACACACCGTCCACCAAGGTATCCATCCGTCAGTCTCTCGAACACGCCTGCCTGCCATCTGCTGCCGTGGGCAGACAGACAGGGAGGCCGTCTGTACAGTCGGCATTTGAGAGATGAGTTGTTCTAGTCTACCTCTACGGCCAGTTGGTTGCCGAACGCCACCTGTGCGTCGGCTCCCATCACCTCATGCACGACCCTCACTGTCTCGGGGAACCTGACCGCTCCCTTCCTGCCATCCACCGGACGCTCCGTCGTGTGGAGGAAGGCGTGGGCATCGATGTGGCAGCTGAAGATGTCGATGTGGGCCGTGAATCTGTCATCCGGCTGGTCGCCATGCAGCACTATCATTCGATAGAAGCCTTCTGGTGCCAGGCAGGTGCTGATGGTGTGGCAGTTCCAGATGGGCAGCTCCTGAGTGGCGAGCTGCCGCTGAAGAGAAAGTGAGATATGACAATGAGCGAGTGGGGCGGCTGCTGAGGCAGTCGTGTGTTCCTTGCTGACCAGTCGGTTGAGGCGTGTGGCATCGTTGCCCTGGTAGACATACTGACGGGCGACCTCCGACCCTCCCCGACCCATCCTGATCAGGCACATCACGGCAGAGCGGGGCAGCCAATGTGTACCCCTACCACTCATCTCTCACCTGTCCAGGACACCGTCGCGGACTGACGCAAACTCCCGACCTGCAGACACACAGACACGCAACCAAATGATCCGTTGCCCATAGGTATTCCCACCTCGCTCACCATACGACCGACAACCCAGCACCTCCTCGCTGTTGACGAGCCACAGCGGCAGGCCGATGTGCCGGCCGATGAGTGAGAGCTGGCGCAGCGCCTCACACCGCCCCTCAAACACTGCCCGGCCGTCCAACGCCTCCACATCAGCCTCGCCCAGCTCTATCGGCAACTGCCCTCCCCCCCGCCCCTGATGCACAGCCACTCTGATGATGGCCACCATGGCCGCCCACTCGCCGCTCTGCTGGATGATGTGCAGGAGCCGCAGCAGATGACCGACGGATGGCAGGTCGTAGCTGAGGATGTCCTGGAGGCCCTTGTCGACGAGAAGTGCATCGATCTGCGTCTTGACATAGGCCTCCGACACGCGCTGGCTGCCGAGTGTGCAGGTGCGCCGGAGGCGGGCGAGGCCGTCGGGGCCGAGCAGAGCGAAGAAGACGTCACGCTCGACGTCCGGCAGCAGGTCAAATAGGCCAATGTGCTGGCCGGCCTGAGGCGAAAGACGGCAGAATGAGAGGTATGTGTGGCTGTGTGGCTGTGTGTCTGTCTGTCTGTGTGAGATACCGTTTGATGTGCAAGAAGAGCATCTCCGGCGCATGAGTGACCGACAGCTACTTGGTCGCCTGTGTGGTGGACAGTCGATCGTGTGTGTCATATTAGTGCCTTCTAAACGCACCCGTCTCTTTTGCTTGCCCCACAGGAATACTCCTGATGACCGGCCGGGCATCCGTGGACCCATTGCACCACACACGTTGGTTGAGACACACAAACAGACTTGTACTCTGTTTACCTCTCTCCCTTCGAGCGTCTCTTCGCCGAAGTAGCTCTCCACACACAAAAAGAGCGACACACTCTGCAGCGACTGAACAGACACACAACAGGAAAACAAATGCACACACGAAGACGCCCACTCGTGGACACCCACCCACCCACCGGCGCCACTTGCAGCGAGAGGTCGAGAAAGGTGTGTCAGGTTGGCAACGCCCAGTTTCCATGCATGGCAAACATGATACTGCGGTCGACCAGACACGCCGACCCGTTGCCGGCGGGGTAGTAGAGGGTTGTGTTGACCGACACCACCGGCAGGGACGTGAATGCCTCAGTGAGGCAGGAGGGCGGGAGGGAAAAGAGCAGCAGGATGGAGCAGAGGAAGAGGACCAAAGGGATGGAGATGCCGACATCCTGCGATTTGACGCCGCTGCGGGGCATCAGTCGACTCACGAGGCTGCCAGTGGCGTCTCCTGCCAGTGGTACTAGCCCCCAGCAGCCCCCAGTCTCCGAAGTTTGAATGATTCTCCCTTCCCCGATGACGAGTTTCAAGGACCTCATCGACCGGACCAAGCTCTCTCTGGAAAGCCCCACCGCCCTCAAGTTGGCGCAGCTCGGCTCCCTGCTGCCACACGACGTGTGGCAAGGCGTCGACATCGGCCCTCGTAACGAGGTGACTATTGGGATGCATGGGAATACGGCGACACGACTCCCACGTGCTGTGTTCTGTGCGTCCAGGTGGATATCAGGAGGCCCGGCATCCACATCGTCAGTACCCTCACGGGCAGAGATGGGGAGACAGCTTCTGACAGGCACTAAGACGTCTGACCTTGTGTCTGTTGTGTGCTGTGTGTTGATCTTCTCAGCTGTACCGGTCGGGCTGGCACTGCCCAGTATGCCACTACAGCCGGCAGGGGTCGGCCGAGTGGGCTGACCGTGAGTGCCTGTCGCTCGAGGGAGGGCTGTGGTATCTGCACATTCAGTAAAGGGTAAGCAGGGCGAGGGAGGCAAAGGCAGGAAAGTCAATGTAAGAGGATGCCTTGGTGCATGCAGGCCGCCGACTTTGTCATGTGTGACGCAAGTCACACTGAGTGGGACAATCCTCCGTCACTCACAGGAAGTGAGCGCTTCAGAACGACAGACGCCGTCATCCAAATTGCTTGCGCCTCT